ATTTTCACGATAGACACTCGTGCTACCCTCGGCATCGATTTCCCTATTCTTTAACTCATTTCTTTTACGTTGAAACTAAAAACTGGGCTGCTCGAATACCTAGATTTCCTCCTGCTTATTCAATTCCCTACAGGTTTACGGTTTTTCTTTACTCTATTTCCTATGTTACAAGGCCTATGAAGGTCTTCTGCTTTCTTAAATCACGGGTGATGGGAAGTTTTGCTTCTGTCTTACGGTTTGAATCCTTTACCCAGATTACATATCCATGGATTATGCCTCGACGGCGGAAAGGTTGAAGGCATATCTGTACTTTATTAATTTTATGTTTAGACATTAAAAGTCAAATAATTAACAATTTATTATTCGTATTAATTGCAGTGTCCCGGCGTCGTCTCTAACAATATGTCGGGATCTGTATGTCCTGCCTCCAAAGGTTGTCATCAGTATTCAGATGGCCTACTTAATATAGTTAAAAGGCATTACATCAATGATCCCAAGTCTTTTCCGTGACCGTTAATATGACTGCCTATGGGGTTGTCGCTGTCCCATACCCCATGTGGACTACCACAAGAAGCCGAGTTAGTATATTCTCGAAAAAATAAGCTATACAGCAGGTAGACAGCGCGCTTCAGAAGAGAATCAGCCCCATGGTATATGTACCCAATGAAAATTAACGCTGGCGAAGGCATATTCTCGCATAAAAGCGAAAAGAATCTCGATATCACTATAAATTTTTGTGTTGGGCTTAGGAGCTGTCTTCAGGCTTGGATTTTTCTTTAAAGCCGCGAATTATGAAAACGGCTTGTAAGGAAGACCGCCCATTCCACTGCTCGAAAAGCCCATGGCGCCAGGCTTCATAATAGCTAACGACTATGTTCTCTTCACTAACATTTTCATGAGGACGGGGCTGATCACGGTTCGATTGACATCCCGGTTCTTTATCCCTCTCTTTTTTACAAAAGCCTTTCGTGAAATATAATAATTCTTTTTTCTTCCACAGGAATAGTCTTCGACAGCGTTGAAGTCTATGACAACTAGAGCACTTCTTCCGGGCTCGATGCTTGCTGCTTTGAAACTTCTCTCTGCAGGGCAAAATGGGAGAGGCTTCTCCTTGTGAGATTTGGCGGAGTGATCAAAAAGCCCAAGAAAACGCCAGTAATAATCTGCACAGTACAATAAAGCAAATGCAATACTAAGCTTTGGGCTGATTACTACTACTGTATCGTTGTTCACAAGCTAAAAGATAGAATCAAGGTAGTCAATATCAAAGGGGGGGGTGTATGAATTCTCGGCATACTAGAGTATATGGTGTATATTTCAATTATCAGCTTTTAGCACCTGTCGGACTGTGAAGTTTGACTTCCAATGACTAGTATCACTGTAGTACCTGACGAGTTACCGTCACAGCTTGTCGGGGTTGAGAGAATAACAGTACGAACAGGATCACCATCTCTGTGAAGCTCTTGGTGCTGATGGTGAGGCTCAAAATAGGTTGGAGCCGAAAGGTTAACTCAGACCCACCGCGAGATTGTAGATGTTGAGTATGCTGAATTAACTGCTCATCCAAGTTGGTATTGAACCAAGTTCATACGCATCGCAAGTTGAGGGTAGTATACATGTCTTATTTGTCGAAATTGCGGGTATCTATCAAATCTATTCTAAACATTACAAGTGGATGAATGAGGAGGGTATTCTCGTCTAAAACGTTTGCCGAACAGCCAACTAATGATTGGTCTTTTATTGTAATCAAACGTCTTGACTCCGGTCAGTGAAATTATCGGCCCCAATGCTATTATCCGCATTTTCCTTAACTCCAAACTGTTTGAAGTAAGGGCCGAACATTGACAGCCTTTCGCAGTCCTTAGCCAGCCAATTCCGATCTGAGTCAGATAAGTATGACGACACAGAAGAGGTGTCGGGCGAGGAGTCAGAGGGTGCTGGAATCAACTGTGGGCCAAGAATCCTCTTATACAGGGCAAGCGACTGCCACAGGATATCAAGTAAACTATGGGGGCTGGGACCCTTTAAAGATGGGCCAGATTCAAGCTTTCTCAATGCCTTTTCAACCATTGCGTCTTCCTCTGCCTCATTTGGGGCTATACTTGGAATGCTAGTTGATTCTTTCTCTTTACCCTGGGTAGGATCTTCCGATATAAGCTCCGTGGGCTTCTTGTTCTGTTTAATGTAGCCAAATGCAAGCAGTTCGATGGCATCTCGCGTACGTAGCCTAAGATGGGTGAGGGCTTTGAGAAGACGCGTTTGGTGTAGCTCAGCTGGTACAGTCGGGGAACCGTCAAGTGAATATTTCAGTCTTATCTTGTTCATATTCGCCGAGTCCGATACGAGCTTCTCCCTGTTAACGAGAGCCCGAACAAGTTCTATGTATCTCAGTATTAAACTAGGATCTAGTTTCACAGTTGAGCCTGAAATATCAAGGAGCTTGCTTGCAACATCTAGAACATTTGGGTTGTTCCTGTCGCGAGAACACGTGCTGAG